ATGCCTCCAGATTTTACTCCATGAACAGTGGGATGCTCGGATTTGCAATTCCTCCTCAAGTTCTGTGCCCGTCCAAGTGTGGGGTAATTCAATTACAGCCACTGCTTTCGTTACGACACAGTTACTAAAGTTTATTCAAATATGACATGGGAAATCACTCCATCCGTTGCAAAATGCATGTGGCAAAAAATACATGCTTATAACTTTTGTAAGAAACAAAGGCCATACATGATTCTAAGATGATAAAAAAAACAAGTGATCATTGGCAAGAGACCATTTAAACAAAAATTAGTCTTTACTCATGTAATTAACAAGAAATTGTTAAAAGTCATTGCGTGCTGGGCACTAAGCCAGTGGCTAGAATATAAGTGATCCATGGTGCCTGTTCACAAGGAGTTTACAATCAATTAGGGGAGAGAGAAGGTAAATACATTTAAAGCTATAAAATGTTCTAGGAATTAAACCAGGGGTCCTCAAACTTTTTAAACAGGGGGCCAGTTCACCGTCCCTCAGACTGTTGGAGAGTGCACACTGTGGGCCCGGGACGAGTTGGCTGCTAAGCAGGACAGGCAGTGGTGGCAAAATCACCGGAGGGCCGGATAAATATGCCAGGCAGCCCTCGCAGGCCGTAGTTTGAGGACACCCGAATTAAACTGTAAGTGTGTACAAGAGAATACATGGAGTCAGCCTGGTAGAGGTGCAGGAAGTCTTCAGAGAGCAGATGACCTTTGCCATGAGGGTGTCCAACAGGCAGATGGCGGGACCAGCACTTGGGCAAAATCAGGCATGGGAGCAAAGACACAGCAGTGGGCACGTGCTTGTGGCGCACCATCATTTGGTATAGCAGTGGGAGGGTGGAGAAGAGAGAGAGGGGAGTGGGCAGCAAGAGATAAAGTCCCAGAGATAGGCTGTAGCCAGGGCTGCTGCCCGAGGCATTCTGAACTATGTTTAGAAGATCATTCCAATAGTCAGCATGGGAAGCGGATTTGAAGGTACCAGGCTCAGCAGGGAGGCGGTTAAGATAGCACTGCTACAACACAGATGAATGAATCGGAGGGAACAAGAGATGCTCAAGGAGGTGGAACACAGAGAATGTGTCGTCGTCATGGGTCTGAGCTCTGCCTCCCAGATCTCACTGCCTACCACACAGGCCCTCCCGGACAGGTGTTCCAGGTACATAGAAGTCCGGATGCTCCAAATGCCTGTCCCCTCGCAGACCTGGATTATCTATTTCCTTAATAACACCACGTCCACCACCCCTCAGGCCAGAAATTGCCCTCTTCCATGGAGAGGGAGGGCCAGTGTGTTTTAGCCCCAAAGTAACTCATTCAAACTGCTTCTCTCCACAGCCGCTCCCATCATCCTAATTTAGGGCGCTTTCATTTCTCTATAATTTCCCCAGTTTTATTTTTGCTTCTGGTTTTGATTTCTCACATTTGTTTACTAGTGGGAGAGTGGTTTTTCTAAAATTAATTCTCATCATCTTGACTGAGAACACTTCAGAAATTCTTCACTGCCTGTAGATCCAAACGAACCCTTTAAAATGGCTTAAATATCCCTGATGAACTAGCCCACATCTGCCTGAACGTGTTTGCCACTCCCTGTGTCTCAGCCATCCTAAGAACAGCTGCTCCGGCTCCCCGAACAGGCAACATGCAGCCGTTACGCCTTTGCTCTCGAGGCGCTGTCCACCTGCAGTGCCCTCGCCACGTTCTCCCAGTCACCTGGTTAACCAGCGCTGTCAGTGCTCGGAGCCGGGATGCCACTTCCTCAGGAGCTTTCCCGACCTGCCCCCGACATCTGTGTTGGCAACTCTAATCTGAGCACCCAGTATCCCCCTCCCCGATCGAGACACGTGCCAAGTGGCTTGGAAACTGCCTGGTGTTTGTCTTATCACCACCCTCTACTGCCATTCTTCCTTTGCATCTCCAGACAGTGAACCCCTGAGCACCCCGATCCTTGAGGACACCCCAACCCCTGGGCACCGCTGGGCCTGGGACGGCCACTCAGGAAGCTCGTGCAGCCTGCGCGACAGGGAAGAGCAAAGCGTCAGACAGGCAGGCAGAAGAAGAGAAACCCACTAGAGGGGCTGAGAGCCACAGTCTAGACCTACAGCACCGGCTGCAGGGCAAGAAGGGAGGACTGGTCACTGGAAACACTGCCAGGCGTCCAGGGCAGGGCAAACGAGGTGAACGATGACGAGAATGGCCTGCATTTGGCAGGACAGCTTCCAGAAAGTGATGGGTAGAAGTCTTGTTGGAGGGTGTTGACAAAGGAGTGGCAGGTGAGTGAGAACATAGGCAAGGGGACAACTTGGAACACACGGGTACACGATACCTGGGCGTGGCGGGGGGTATTAAGGGCAAAGAGGGAATATTCGTGTGTGCCAGCTCCTGTGTGTATGTGTGCACACGCATGTGTGTGTGTGTGTGTGTGTGTGTGTGTGTGTGTGTGTGTGTGACAATTTCTTTACAAAAGATCTCAACCATAAATCTAACTGGCAAAGAAAGTGAATGGCCAAGCTATATTCAGGTACAAAATAACCATCTATCAAACAAAAGATACAAATCATAAATGTATGATTGAATTCATATGGGAGATTTATATCATCAACAAACATAGATTTTATCTAAACTTAAAAAAATGAGCCCCTCTTTATGTTTCAGAAGAGACCACTCAGCCCATGGATCAAAACTTAATCAGCTGTCCACAATCACTATTTGCACTCTCTAGCATGACTGCACGATCACTGAGATATCTATTTTCATAGTCACCCCAAAACTTCCCTGCAGAAAGCCTCAGACTTTATATATGATCCACTAACCCCATCCATTCATGGAAATAGCTTTAGTTTTCTATCTAGTAAATGCCCCGAAGTCAGATGAGACACAGGAAAAAAATCAGGGATAAAGACATCTGAAATATAGAAATGTCTAACCTATGATGAAAAGTGCATGTGGACACAAAATAGCCACATTTATCTTTACAAATAGGTCTGTCCTTTAGGTCCCTATCAAATATAAAGTTCTGTCAGGTTGCCATGGTATTAATTTCACCTACAACATTTGCAGCGGTCCCAGACCTTTTTGGTACCAGGGACCGGTTTCATGGAAAACAATTCTTCCACAGTCTTGAGTGGGGGGAGCGAAGCTCAAGTGGTGATTCGAGCGATGAGGAGCTCCCTGGTTCCTAAGTTTCATAGAAAAAGGATGAGGGTGGGGGCGGAGGTTGGGGACCGAAGGTTTGGAGAACGCATTGAGGAAAACAGGCTTCAAACATGAAATTACTTTTCATCAGACATATGCTTCTCATGCAACTACCAATACATTCAGCATCAATAAGCTCTAATTTTAGAAACATTCATCTGCAAACACTAATCAGTTAATGGTAAATTCAATTTCTACTTGGCTTCTACTTTCATGTTCGGCCCTTCAAGGCTATACAACACGGTATCTCAAAAATATTAATTTACTTACTAGGAACACAGATTACATTCCTTGAAAACATCTGTACAACAAATGTATACACATATAAGTAAAATCAAAGCTTTATGAAAATATAATTTTCTTAGGGGGGGGGCTGCATTTCTGACCAAACACCTGATCCCAAACCTTTCAAAGAAAGGACCATAAAATCCTCTGTGTAATCAAATCACAAATATGATTAATAATAACATTTCAGAATAGGTCAAAGCTTCCCAAATGGCATGTATAGAAAAACACATAACTTTAAAATATTTTGCCTACAGAGAACTCAGAGATCTGGCATGGCTTGATTCAAGGGGGCCACTGCTGGGTGGTACAATTTTTCACTGTGCAGTCTGTCCTATAGATTGCAGGTTTGGCCAGTAGCCCCCCCTAGGCATGGTGACAACCAAAGAAACACGCCTGCACATTTCCAAATGCGCTCTAGGGGAACAAATACTGTCCCAGCTGAGAACCAGTCAGTCTCTCTTGCTTACAGAGAAACTTAAGCCCAGACAAAAGGAACTGCCCATGTTTGTGTCACTAGATAAAGACAGTGCCCAGGTCTCGAACCCAGGTTTCCAGGAGGCCAGTGCCACTGAGAATCCGGCAAAGAACATCTTGGATCTACCTCATGCTGACTGAATCCGGGCTTTTCCCCTGAGGACGGGGAGAGGCATCAGCACAAATCTGGGGCTGTAACTGAGCAATCCGATGGATGAGCCTTTTCAGTCTGTGGTCCCATCCCCCAGTCTGAGCCCTGTTAGGAAGCAGGCCGTGTATCACCTCCCCCAACTCACAACAGCCCCCACTGTTGGTGGAAAAATTATTTTCCGTGAAACTTGTCCCTGGTGCCTAAAAGGTTGGGGGCCACTGTTTAAGTCACTTTGCCTTAGCTTCCCGTTCAGTCACACGGTGTCTTCTCCACGCTGGCACTGCCCCATCAGCTGATGGCATCTTCTATTTCACAGGGGCCTCCACTTCCTTCTGCCCCACTCACAAACTGATCTAACTTAGTCCCTGGAGTTTAAATACTCTATTATGAAATGTGAGAAGACATTTGTCTTCCCTCCCCATCTCTCTCATTTTTCTCTTTCTTTTTGTTTATCTTATTGTATCCCCAGCATTAGACTGAACAGACACAAGATGCCAGAGAGAATCCTGGGCCTCTGTCCAACCTGGGGAATAAGTCTTCTAACAGGGTCTCCACTAAATTTGAGGTCATGCGGTTTGGGGGTAGATAGTGCATTTCTGTTCCTTGTTGCTTAAGTTTAAGGTTTTTTGTCATAATTCAATATCCAACTATATAAAATATTCTTCTAGTGTTGATTGTGTTTTTTAAAAATGCCATCATGTAGAAAAAGTTTAAAAGTTAGAAATCCCCATTTCAGTCCCCCAATTGATTTCACTTAATTTTAATATATATATGTATATATTTGGTTTACTGAGAAAGCCAAAAATCTGGGGTCATTCATCTAAGTTTGGCATTAAAATTCAGTGGGAAACATAATGTCTGAGCAGGGGCTGCAGGCTTACCCGGATGTACGCGTCCTGATGGTGCTTAGCAAAGTACAGCATGTTGTCCAGAGCCAGCATGCCAGGAGGAGTCTGGGTGAAGTCCATGGCAGGGTTCACATGATTCTGTGATTAAAACAAAACATTGATAAGGTTAATTCTTCAGAGATTCCACCGACCACCAGGGATCCGGTTTCCCCCTGGAGACTGATGTATCACAAGGCAAGCTCCAAATGATCAAATATGATGACACTATCTACTTCCATGTGACCCTACTGAGGTGGGGGCAGGGGCTTCTTCCGACAGCTCAGCCAGCTGTTATACCTGGGAGTAGGAAACGTAGTTGAAGTCAAAATATGGGAATATTCTTAGACATGTAACAGTGTGAGGAAAAGAAAATGAGATAAAAGTTATTTCTGGTGGCTGCTCTAAAGTGGAACCAACAGCGTTTGGTGAGGAAGACCTGGGATAAAGTCACACTTCTGCCCTTCAACTCAGATAGATGACTTCCGGGAAGCCATTACCTGCCCACACCTTAACTCCTCATCCTCACGTGTGCACGGGCTTCTCGAACTGTCCGGGGTTACACACTCCACAGGCCTCTGAGCACAGGCCCTAGATAGCATTCAGATCCCCAGGCCTACTCCCAGGAAGAGTACTTGGCCGTGTGGTCACACGTGCCACTGAGAACCCTGAAGATTAAACAATAGTTTCAAACATGCTTAACCAGGGAGCAGGCCTGGCTCGTCTGAATCCTCCGTGTGCTTGAGATCGCCCGGGAAACACCACAAGACTCTTACGCAGAGCAGCAGACCACTCTCCACCATTAACCACTGAAAACACTCGCCATAGAACTGTCCTGAAAATTCAGATCCAAATGGTAAATGATTTAAGGGAAGGCAAGTTCCCCCCACCCCAGGTTAAATAGATGAAAAATAAATGTTAAAGAAATATTTTTTAAAAAAAACTGTTTTGGCCTCATGATCCAGATCATTTGTATGAAATGACATATTTTAGTTTTGTCCCTGAATACTTTAAACAGCTTGAATCTCTATTTTGCCAGGGAAATTTTGCTTAAAGGCAATTTTTTCCTAATTTCGGCACAGAAGGTCCTTTCTGTTCACTTGTTCAAGGTTCAGACAACTCACAAACACTTCTCTACAACATTCAGGAGTACAGCTAAACCGTCTTTCCCATGCAGATTTGAAATGTTGTTTATAAGCTAATAAACAACATCTAAAATTATGGGACAGCAGTGCTGCCTACTGGCCACAGTTCCATGGTTCCAAGAGCATCCCTGTCCACAGCTAGGGGTTATGTGAGTGCAAGCATTTGAATATTTTAACATTTCATCCTGATTCATTTATTAAAATGTTGGAAAGTTTTGAAAATACCAAAATACCGCCACCAATGATAAGAAAGATATATCTCATAAAATAAATATAATTGTAACAAAAATAAAAAATCATTCAGCATGTCAAATGCATTGGGATCCTGACTTAATTGGAAATAAATGATCAGAGAGTTAGTCTAAAAAGTAACTTGTAATGAAAGAGTTTATAATAGTTTTAGCTATTTAGCAAAACATAGTAAAATTCCCTTATTACACAGAAATCGATTGTTTTGACTTTGATAAATTGGATTTTCACGAAGACAGTGATATAAAAAAGTGGATATTTGTTCAGTACTTTCTGGGTCTGATCACTATTTTGCACTTTCCACTATGAAATCTCACTTATGGTAGGTACAACTGTTATCCCCATTTTACTGGTGAGGAAACTGAGGCTCGGATGGGTTCAGAAGCTTGGCTTTGGCCGAGCAGGCAATGACTTCTTGGACAACATATCTCAACAATCTTTTGTTCCTATTTTTTTTCCTTACCACCTGTTTCAAAGTTGAATGCATTTATTTTGGTACTTCTAGCATTTAGCCTTTACAAAGACTGAGAGAAGTTTGAGGAAAATGTAGGCTGATCAATATTAGCTGCCACGCAGCACAGGCCAGCCAGCAGAGGAGAGGGGGCCAGACGTAAAAAAGAAAAACATGACGTTTATTTCAGACCTATTTCTAGAGCTGGTCTGTGAATTTCAAAAATAAATACATTAAAAAAAGAAATCAAGTAAAAAAAAAAATTAGATTCTCTGACTCTAATTCCAACAAATCCCCAAAGCTGTGTGTTAGGGAAGTTGACCTGGGAGAAGATCATGACCATGGCTAAAGAGTCATCAGTCGAATTTAAATCTTGCACCCTGAGTCCCCATGAAGCCTCCTTTTATTAATCACACCCCTCCTTGAGCACACACTGGGTTCATTAATTAGGGCACTGCTGGTTTCAAAAAATCCTTACAGTTAATAAAAAATATAATTGATTTTTAGAGTTCTTTTAAAGAGCCATATAACCAATCAGCAAATAGTCCCAATAAAATAAGATGTACTATGTACCAGGCATTACACCAAATGTCTTGCATATGGAGCTCTTAATCCTTATAAAACCCTCACCAGGTAGATGCTATCGTTATCCTCCTTTGGCAAGAAGGAAACTTAGGCACTGACAATTTGGGGCTGAGTCAGTATGTAGCAGAGCCCGAATGTGAACTCTGAGCATAGGATTTTCACCAGGTTGATCACCAACCTGACACTGCTGGGAATTCCACAAAGATGTTCCCAGTTGTTGCAGTTCTTTTGAATCAACACCATTCCCTCAGGCAGAGTGGGCCTAGGATCCACCCTTTTTAATAAAAGCTATGATTTCTCCATCCCTCCCAGACATTAAAACAGACCAAAGTCTCTCTCATGTTCAATAAACCATGTCCTAATTGTCTCAAAACAAATAAGCTCTTGCTGAGCAAAGCCAATTAGAAAATTGCCTTTGATTTTCAATGACTTGCCATGAATTATGAAGCATCACTACATTTTTACATGAAAAAAATACTGTGTAGTTGGAGGTGAACTATACTTTTTTCCCTCTCTTTCTCTTTCTCTCTCTAACTCCAGATATCATTTTCCCAGCCTCCCTCTCCTTGAAATTATTTTCTTTATTTTGTTTTAATAGTCGATGAAATAACTTTACAACCAGAGATTTTGATAATGGGAAAAGGAAAAGAATTGCATGCCAAGACATTTAAAAAGCTTTCTGTACTGCGACAAAAATACTCTGAGAGCCAGGCAAGGCCAAAAGCTCCCCAACTTCTTTCTTATTTATGAGATGCTCTGGATACAGATTTATTTTCTTTTCTTGTTCCATGTTATTTTTTTTTCCACCTGTCTTGAAATGGAAGCTGCAGGAGCTTTGATAAATGGCTTGAAATTTTCCCTTGTTTTACTGCAAAGCCTGTGTACCTCTGTACATCCTTCTGAAATGCCATTTGTTAGTGCCTGTAGAGTGCCACTCCGTGAATCACAGCAGACATCTCTCAGCCCCTAGGGAAAGGGTGAATGGCTGCTTCCATTTCCAAAACACCGGAGTTTTAAAATTTGGCAATGTGGTATCAACCAGCAGAAGATATCATGAGTTATTAGAAATCAGCAGAAGATATCAGAGTTATTCTGAGCACCTTATGTGCAGTTTGGGTATCTAGTTTGAGTATCTAATTCCTGGAGATCAGTTTCTCATCTGTTACACGCATGCCAGTTTTTCAGCTGAATTATTTCAATCGCATACTGAAGGGAAGGTATAAGCTCTAAGACAGAAAATCTCCACACCTGTTCTGGGTCCATATCTCATGCCCGTTGGAGAGCTACAGTGGGCCTTAAATATAATCTAGGCTGGTTCTCTTATTTTATATATTACAAAAACAGAGTCCCCGGTGGAGAACAGTGGCGCTCAAACCTGGGCAGGCATCTGAATCTCACAGAGCAGTTGTTAAAACACCGATTGCTGGCTCCACCTCCTGAGCATCTGACTCAGTAGGCTTGGGATGAGATCTAAGAATTTGCATCTCTAACAAATTCCCAGGAGATTATCTCCCAGGAGATACAGATGCTAGTGGAAGACTACACTTTTGAGACCCACTGGTGGATAGAATGGCTCATCCCAAATAACACAGGTAATATCAAAAGAAGATCTAGAATCCAGACCCACCAACTCCTTAAATCCCAAGCAGCTGCTATTCCATCACGCTTTAACCCACTTGCTCCAAAGTGCAAATGCATTTCAGATATACCTGCTGTTCACCTGCTCTGTGGTGAGGTCTCTCATCAATGAAACAAACTCCTTTATTCAGACAAGGGAATTGTAATTTAGAAGCTTCTCGCTCCTCTTATTGCTCAAATTTCTGACTAAAATAATATGTATCAGCACCTCCACAGGGAAGTAGGAAACTGTAATCAGTCTATATTTCCACTCCTGAGTGCTTCCCGGTTGGGGAAACAGTACTGGCACTAGCCTGAATGATTTTTAAATGATCTGTATATTTTTCAATTACTAATGCCATACTAGTCCTTCATTAGTGTAGAAAAGAAAGAGATGATTACAATAATGCCTGCCAGATGGCATATCGTGGGGAAAGCCTTTGAGGATTTAGGAGTTAATATTTGTGCTATAAGAGTGCCTACATTTGCTGAACAAATACAGCATTAAAGGCAACCTTTAAAACAAATCACATGGAGTGAATATTCATTTAGTCTATGAAAAGCCCCATTCAAGAGTATTTCTTGAGGCTGGTGGTTTAAGGTCACATTCCCCAAGTGGAAGAGGGCCATCCATGGACTCTGTCGAAGGACACATGCCTACCTCTGCTCTCCTCCCCGCCCAGGAGAAAAGAGCATGTTGAGTGTTTCAGCAAGCTCCCTAGAACAGCAGTTCTCTACCTTGCACCTGAAAATCCCCTGGGGGGATCTGAATAATCCTGATGTCCAGGTTATACCCCAAATCAGTTCAACGAGAAGCTCCATGGTTAGGATTCAAACAATTAGATTTTTTTTAAGCTCCCCAGATGATTCCAATATCCAGCCAAGGTTGAGAACCAATTTTCCAAATCAGTGGTTCTCAAACTTGAGCAAGCATTAGAATCTCCTGGAGGGTCTGCTTACATGCAGGTTGCTGGGCCCCACCCCTGAGTTTTTGGTCCAGTAGGTCTGGGGTGGAGTCCAAGAACTACTTGCATTCATACAAGTTTTCGGATGCT